CACACAATCCCCCTGACCCCCACAGTCCCCTGACCCCCACATCCCTACTTACTGGGAACAGAGCCTGGGTCTGAGACACCACTGCAGCCTTTCCCCACTACTATTTGCTTCAGCACACTGAGGCAGCATGCTGGAGCAGCAGGGGCAAACAGTAGCCATAGAGATGCTCTGGCCACATGCTAGAGTGTCTCTCTGGAGGCCCCAGGATCCAGTTGCCTCAGAGCATGCTTCAGGAGCACCTGTGACACTTTTTCCCAGCATGTTTGTTTGTTTTTTATGGTGGGATTTTGCAGTATCAAAATTAGAGTCCAGGCTGCAAATATGCAGCACAGGGCACATTTTTTTTTCATTCCCAGAGTGCCTCTTGTGGTGTCACAAACTGTTTTGAGATGCTGCAACAGGCACGTGCTGGCTTGTCTGGACATGGCCTCTGATGCTGACATGGTAACTGCTGAGTGTTTATTGTAGCAAATAAACTGAATTTTAGAAGTAAGCAAAATTTCAGGGAGACAAAATATTCAACATGAGGCAAATTTTGTTTATATTTTAAAGAAAAAAATTGGAACTACATTTAGTAAATATTAGCTTGGATATTCAGAGCAGAAACTGCATTATTTTCAGAGAATTCCTATGTCAAGGCTTTAGCTGGAAAACAATAAATTACTAATTCAAGAAAAGGTTCTCACAGATAATGTATGTAACACAAATATTTGTATTGAAGGTTTTTTTCTATCCAGTCCTTTTGCAGAAATGTTTAATTTACCTTGTTGTGACTTTTCTACGTGGCTTAATTCCCTTTTCTTAAATAAACAATTGAAGTAGTACATATAATACAAACTCTTGTTTTTAAGGCATAAATGTAAAAAGTTGTACCTTTCTTACCTAATAAAGAATATCATAGTTATTACTAGAAAGCTTTTTTACATTTGTCATTAATAAAGTCCAAGAAGAATCTACACAAATAGAAACAATGTTGTTAATTTGAACTAGATTTACTTTCTGCATTTGTCTATGGCTGAATTCCTGTTGACCATAGAAGTTACTCATTCTCACACTCCGTTTTGGTGGAGTATGATTCAAGCTGGAACATATCCCTGTAAAACAGATGTGGGCAAAATACAGCCTGCAGGCTGGATCTGGCCTGCTAGGTCATTCTATCCAGTCTGCAGGGTCCCTAAACAAATTAGGAAATTAATATTTATCTGCTCCTGGCTGCCTGTTAAACAGGACAGGAGCCAGGGGCAGTAGGACCCAGGGGAAGCCAGCAGTAGGACCCAGCAGTGAGACTCACCCAGCCCCATCCCACCAGCCCCTCCCCCCCAACCAGTCTGGCCTGGGACTGTGGGGCTGTTCCTGGCTCACTGCAGCCAAGAGGGAAATTCAGATAAGAACATGGGGTGGGGAGGAGGGAGGCAGGGGAGGACAGTAGGCAATTGCCCCAGTCCTTGCGGCTGGCCCAGCTCCTGTTGAGTCCTGTGGTGAGCTGTGTTGAGTCCTGTAGGAACCTTGTGGTGCCGGCGCATCACCATGGCAGGCAGAAAAGTAGGAAAAGTGGCAGCGGCGGTGGGATGTGGGGAGTGGGAGCGAATAGGAGTGCAGAGCTCAGCAACAGCTGGGCAGGAGCATGGGACCACACCAGTGTCCCAGGGCCAGCACTGGCAGTGCCCAGACCAGGGTGGCAGGAGCACAGGGTGTGGGCTAGCAGGGGTCTATGGAGCTGGGCTGGGTTGCACCAGCAGGGAGAGAAGGGAGCTGGCATGGCTCCATAGAACCCCGGCCAGCCAGTACCCCGTGCTCCTGCGCCCCACTCTGGGTCCCACTGGTGCTGGCCCTGGGACACTGGGATGGGCCCTGTGCTCCTATGCAGCTTTCATTGCACTCCTGCACACCTGCTCCCCTCACCTGCTGCCCCTTCCAGCGCTTCCCTGCCTACGTACCAGTTGCTCCTGTACTACGCGGTTCCTGGCTGCATTGCTGGATCACATGAGCCAGTACTCCAGGGCCAGGAGTGGAAGGGTATGTGTGTGTGGGTGTGTGCATGCCTCCATGCATTGAAGGAGGGAGGCAGGGAGAGAGAGAGAGCAATGAGGGAGGGACAGAATGTGTGTGTGTGTGTGTGTGTGTGTGTGCACGAGCACGCACACACACATGTAGGGAGAGTCCCACATGCACACCGCACCATACGTGCACCCACACCCCCTCATGCACACCAGCCACATCTCCCTACAGCTCCCATACTCTCTTGCATGCTCCCTGACCCCCCACATCCACCCCCCCAAAACCTCCCCACACACAGACACAGCCACAGCCACAGCCACACCCTCCCCCATGCCCCTACCCCTCCTCCACAATATACAAGAGTGAGACTTCATTTTAAGCTTTTGTGCAATCACCTCTATGTACACTATGCAAACACAAGGACAAAAAATATTTTTTGAAACCAAGTTAATGAATGTTGTAGATGTTCAATTTTTAGAATATAATTTGGTATTTTTCTGGTTCTAAGATAGCAATACCCCGTGATGAAAGGAGTACTTCCAGGGGCAAGGGAAGGGACTTCTGGTAGCAAAGATCAGGGGGCTAGGGGACTGGATTTCCAGTCAAAAGATGGTGGTCAGGGGGCAGGGCACCTATCAAGGGGCTGGGCTATCCATGTGGCTCTCAACAGCTTGCCAAAACTCAGTAAAAGGTCCTCTGCCCAAAATAATTGCCAGCCCCTGCTGTAAAATGAACAACCTGCAAGATGTTCTGTAAGAGCCAAAGTTCTAGCTGTTCATCCTAGTTCTCTTTTATTGCCATATTTAATGTTGTCTGTTTTTTATGCCTATGCATTGCATGGTTAATGTCTAGTTTGCCCCAGTGACATTTAATGTGAAATAGACAGTTATTTTTTTTCTTGCTGAGTATGGTGCATTATATAGGAAAGGACAGGCAATTGCTGTTTAGTCCTTCTGTAAAAGCTTAGCTAGCCCTTCATTCTTCTGGATTCTCACTGCAGATTTCTGAATAGCACTATAATCCCTCTTTAAAAACAGGTATCTGTTTTCCATCAGGACTGTCATACAAATGGAGTTCATTTCTTCTCTATAAAACATTTAATTTGCTTAAATGCCTCTAATTGTGGCTGCTATTAGTTTGAGAAATAATGCTTGTTGTCCAAAAACAGTATATTGTTGGGGTAAAGTAATATTTAATTAAGGCCACCCTTTCTAGCTGGAAATGGGCATTTTATTTTAGAAACGAATCAATTAAAACAAAAGAGCTCTTTTACTGTACTATACTCTGTGTGTATTATATGTTCTAGATAGGGGTGCACTGATAAAGATTTTTTGGGCTGATATCAATGGCCAAGTATTAACGAGACATATTAGCTGATACCAATCCTTGCCAGTATGCAGCCCACCAGCTTGGAGAGCAGCATCTGATTGGTAAATCTGTTGGGGAGAGGGAAGGGAAGGAAGGTAGGGGCATGGCAGGGCAGATTGAGGCCCTTGCGATGATGGAGGGAGTGTGGCTAGGGCTGGGGCAGGCACTTTCCAGTCACAGCAGGCTGGGGCATGGGACAGCACTGGATGGCCCATCTAGGGGTTGCGGGGAGCAAGGGTGGATCCTGCTGCTATGTGCATGAGATCCTTGAGGAGCCATGGGGGGCATGTGCCCCCTGATCTGTGTGCAGGGTGAAGGTGGGCTGCCTCTGCAGGCTAGGCCTGAGACCGGCGCCGGGCTCTTCTCAGCGGAGTGGAGGAGCTGGGCTGGGGCTATGCTTGGGATGCGCAGCATTGGCACTGGGATGGGGGGGCTACAGGGTTGGCTACAACCACCCCAGAATCTGCTGTAGCCCCCCTGTAGTCCCACCTCCCAGCGCTGCTGCTGCCCACCCCAAGCGCGGCCCCAGCCCAGCCCCCCACCGCTGGGAAGAGCCCGGTGCTGCCCCTGGCCCCAGCTTGCAGCAGCAGCTGCAGCCCATCCCTGCCCTGTGCACAGATCCAGGGGGCATATGCCCCCCATGGCTCCCGTGGGGGTGCATGTAGCGGTGAGATCCATGCCCCTCACCCTGTGCCCCCTGGAAGAACCTTTCACGGCTCCATCCCACACCCCACCCTGGCTGGGCTGGGCTGGGCTGTGCTTGCTCCAGCCCCAGCCCTACTCTCTCCCTCACTGCAGGTCCTCAATCTGCTCCCCCCCACCACACACTGCCTCCCTCCCACCTCCCTGTTTCCCCCAACAGGCTTACAGCCAAAGGCTGCTCTGCAAGCTGCCAAGCTGGCCGCGTGCAGGCTGCGGCTCTGCACACGCATGCAGCATCAGTAACAGCAACGTTATCGGCCACAGCCAAAAAAAGCCGATTACCGATTATTTCAATTTTCCTTTTATCAGTGCTGATATGATATGGACCTATGTCTCGGTGCGCCTTTAGTTCTAGGACTTGATTCTACACTCTTTAAAGTTGAGGGGAAAACATCTAGTAACATTACTGGTGCAGGATTACAGCCGTAGTCAATATGGTTATCATTTAAAACTACATTGCTAAGTCAAAAAGGAGGTTAAGTACAAGCAAGAATAATACAAATTTCCACATACGTTATATCGATTATTCTGACATCTGACTTGGAGACATTACTTCAAGATTTAGATGGAGTTTGATCTCCAGGATCTCTCAGAAATAATCCTGACTGGTCTATTCTGTCAGACCCATCCTGTAGAACAGCAGTTGAATGCAGACCCGTGTGCTTTATATGCAGTATATTGTTGGGGTAAAGTAATGTTTGATTAAGGCCACCCTTTCTAGCTGGAAACCAAAGTGCTCAATAAAGTCAATAGAATAACCCTCGTGGTTCAGACCCTATGTTCATCGCAAAAAAAAAAAAAAAGAAGAAGCCTACTGTGCGTAGAACATGAGTGCATGAACGATTATCTGAGTAATAAGCTGGCTGCATATTCGGTCTCATGTATTTGTTCATGCCTCCCCACACACCTGTTTATGGTGCACATGTGTAGCATGGGCCAGATGCTTAGTTCCAGTAATATTATGTTGACCTGTATCTGCCACGGGTCATGCATATTTAAACTGGCTATTCTCCAAAAGAATTAAAAAAAATATTATTTTTTATAGAGAAGATTGTACAGATTGCAGGAAACAAGAATTTAGTAAATAATTAGAAGTCTTAGTTACTAGGAACAATCAGTAATGGAAAAGACTAGCTTGATTTAATAAGTCAATATGTAGAAATGTCTTGCGAGCTATTAAAAACACAGGGCTTTGGTGGAGAACACAACTTTTTAAAATGTGAAATGAAATATGCTAGCTCAAAAAAATGACTTAAAAATATTTTAATAGTTCCCAGATAGCAAGATAAATTTTCATATAGCTGTGCACTGAGGCAGATATTTTATTCCATTAAAGTTCAGTATAGTGAAGCAAGTCACTTTTCACTTGCTACAATCCTGCTCATGCTCTGCTTCAGATTTCTCCAATAAATTGAACACAAAGTGTCAAACTATCTTACAAACTAATCCATTGCATATACTAAAATTTCAGTTTCTGAGCTGGGGTGTGAACTTTTAGAGGCATTCAGTCCTTTTCTTGTTGCAGTGATTCAACAAGTGACTCTGGATGCATTCTTCAGAAAACTTAACAGAATTTTTTTAGTACTTTTTGGCTTTAGGTTCTTTCAAGATTCATACACCTACAGCCATATGCTCCCTTCTACACAGTGTCTTCTTATGTGAACAGAAGCAGTTGTTGTTAGGTTATTTGTGGTGTTTTGAGAGAGAAAAAGTTTCTTTATTGTTTTTAAGGGACCAAATCTAAGGCAGAATTCCAAAGGGGGGGATGCATTTTATGTCAAATTGTTCATTACTATTGGGATAAATGTAAGAAAATATTGTCTATAAACTCAGTGAAGGTCAGAGTGTGTTTATCAGCAACCTCCATAACATTAAGTCTTCCTTTGTTTTTAAAGTTTTTTTTTCTCAAAATATCTTTAGCTTATATTCTAACATGTCAAGGGACAATTAAGTAAGGTTGTGACTATACATTAACGGACAGTATTTGGTATAAAGGTCATAACAATAGGATGGCCTGAAGTCCTTGGAAAAAGTATTTAACCTCTACAGCCAGTGATTGCCATCTGCTACTGCATCCAAGGGCATAGGAAGGACAAATTCACCTGAGGGTTATACTAAGGGAACTTTGCTCTGAAGTGAATTTGGTGATACTATAGGAACTCTGCCAACAGAAGCTGTTCAAGCCGTACACTAAATCTCTATCATATGTTTTCTGGCTCTACAAAAACCCTACTGAAAATCTTTTGAATGGTTGTGCCATTCTTGACTCCTTAACTTAATATTACATTAACACTAGATAGATTTGTCAAGGAATGCTATTGAAGCTGAATAGACTTTTCTGCGGTGGATGCACCTTCTTCCTAATGCTGACTTTGGTTGTTAACCCTTTTCTTTAACTTATGGTACAGAATAATTGAGGCCCATATTTTCAGCTGGGCCTCCTTGGCTTTGCTTACCTTGCTTAGGTGTGGGATTGGGAGCTTACATGTAGGATTCATAATGGGAACATCATTTCAGAAGAGAGATTTTCAGTATCTCCAACACTGTGTTGAGATATGGATAAATTGTTACCAGAAAGGTGTAGAAAAGTTTTTGGAGTGAGATCAATGAGAAACAAATGTGAATAAAGGGATGATGGGATTTGATTTATTGAGGAAATATGAAACATGTATTTCGGGGAAGCAATGACAATGGAAAAGTGTAAGTCTCACAGACAGACAAGGTTCTTCGGGCAAATTTGATATCTTTTATCAGACCAACTTAAATAGCAAGCTTTCAGGTTTAAAAACCATTCATCAGGCTGAGGAAGTCTCTGCAGTTGGTGTGTGCTCTTGGATGGAATGAAAAGTAAAGAAGCCAGAGGCTGGGCTGGTGTGCATGCAAGACAGGCAGTCAGTGAAGATATAAATTGAGGAGTCAGTGGGTGAGAGACAGGCTGGGGGGAGGGGAGAAGGGGGATGAGTGTAGTAGTTAAATACTGGAGAGGTACCTGGGGAGTCAGATGTCAGGCAGGTTATAATGTGTCATAAATCATAAACCTCGCTAACCTCATCACCAGAAGCAAACTTCCTCAAGCCCAGAACACACTGAATGGATCCAGACCATGCCATGACAAGAAATGCAAAACGTGCCAACACATCTCCACCACCCCCACAATTACTACACCCCACAACAGATCCATCAGCATCCCTGGATCTTACAGCTGCACCTCCAGAAATGTAATATATCTCATCCAATGCACCAAATGCCTTGATGGAAAATACATAGGAGAGACCAAACCACAACTGCACACCAGAATGAACGCACACTGGAAATCTGTCAAAGACAAGAATACCCAACTACCTGTGGGGGCACATTTCTCACAAGAAAACCACTCTCTCTCTCCAATCTCTCAGGTCTAATCCTCAAAGGAAACTTACAAAACACTTCTCAGAGACAAGCCTATAAACCGCACTTCATCAACCTCCTGGATACAAAAACTCATGGACAAAATATAGACATTGGATTTATTACACATTATAACCTGCCTGACATCTGGCTCCCCAGCTACCTCTCCACTATTTAACTGCTACACAACTGCAATTTAACTGCAATAGCTTCTCTAATATTTTATTTAGCCTGTAGTAGCTTCCACCATTTCATCCATCTTGTTTTCTTATTTAGTCTAAATATTTGACTAAGTGTATGTATGGCAGGCACATGATACATGCTCTAATCATGATCTACTTAGAACTCACAAATGGTAGAGGCCTGGCTGCTACAGTAGAACTCATATTTGTCATAGCCAGATTAATCTGCTTAATTTGCAGAAGGTTGCAGAATTAAGAGGAACCACCCAGCTGATGACTACCTCTTACCTCAAAGGACTTATTTCTATATATCCCTGGCTGGTTCACAAACTTTTCTCTTCTGTGCTGGGGTATGGAACCTAGCCCTAAGAAAAAAACAGGTTCTGCTTTTCTTGAATCATACTCTTCTCCACTGGTTAATAGTATGCCAATGCTTCAGCACGGTGTTAGGAGTAATGTCATGTGGAGAAGTTACAAAATAGCAAAATCCTCACCACTTGTGATTTGTTAAAGTTCAAGTAAGGCATTTCACAACAATTTGGGGTGGTAGCAGGGTTAAGTCCTGACCTGCTGAATTCTAAACAGAGCATGTTCTACAATCTGTGATTGTTTCAATGGGATAAAACATAGCTTTTCTGGCTTAAGCTGCAATGTGACAGTGTTGCCATTCGCAGTTTAATAGCTGCTGTCTTTCACTGTAGAAGAGGGTGAATAGTTTTTATATACATATGAAGCACTTCATCCATCAGCAAAAACCTTTTTTGATTGGTTGGTGAATATATTGTTGTTTATCTCCTTATCTCCAAATGCATCCTAGAAACAAAGCTATTCTGTATAATACTGTTCTAAAAAAATAAAGCCTTAAAAGTTACAGCCTTTTTCTTCTACTAACTGTTGAGGAATGGTTTAAATGCTGAGAGGGAATCTGGGGAAAGAAGATCCAGAGTTAGATTCTTAAGTATTACATGTTAAAACGAAGGCTCCATGGTAACCAACTTGTCATGACATACTGGCTCGAAACAGACTTTGGCTACACACAGCGATAACATCCAGCACATGATTACATACGTGATTTGACACCCCCAGTTCACAGGGAAGCAGTGGTTTGATCAGAGCATATATATGTGTGTATATTATATAATGTAATATAATATATAATTTATTGGATATGCTTTTCCCCTAGCATTTTGTGGATAATTCCTCATTAGCCAAACTTCTTACTGATTTTTTTTCTCTTCTGCTGTATTTCTGCACACTGAGCACTGCTGATTCATGGTGACTTTTAATTCCTATTGGACCATTCCCTGCATTTGAGTTTGAGGATTTTTTGTCTTGCAGATCCTGTGTTTGATCCAAAGTGCATGGAAGTCAATGGAAGTCTTTTTAATGACTGCAGTGGACTTGGGGTCAGGACCAAGTCCCCTGTGTACTTCCTTACTCTTAGTCAGAAAGGTTAGCTACAGCTTATTGTTTGCTCTTTCAAAGGTAAAAGCTTTTAATATGAGACTCTGGATTATGTCTTTAATTCTTTGCAAAGATAACAGTTTTCAGAGGCAACAGTAACATAAACTACAATGCCATTGAATAGAATCATAGAAAATTAATGTTGGAAGGAACCTTAGGAGGTCATCTAGTCCAACCTCCTGCTATATCATCCCAGCCATAGCTTTGTCTAGCCAGGTCTTCAAAACCTCCAAGGCTAGAGATTCCACAACTTCTCTGGGTAACCAGTTCCAGTGCTTTACTACCCTCCTCATGGGAGAGTTTTTCCTAGTATCGAACCTAAACTTCCCTTGCTGAAACTTGAGACCATTGCTTCTTGTTCTGTCATCTGCTACCACTGAAAAGAGTCTGCTCCGTCTTCTTTTGAACCACCCTTCAGGTAGTTGAATTAGATAGCTGTTATTAGATTTCCCCACTCAGTCTTCTCTTCTCCAGACTAAATAAATCCAATTCCCTCAGCCTCTCCTTGTAAGTCATGTACACCAGCCCCCTCAGCGTTTTTGTTGCCCTCCACTGGACTCCCTCCAATTTGTCCACATCCTCTCTGTACTGGGGGC